GGACCCTGGGCTGGGCACTGGCGGCTTTGGGGATGGTTGCAGCCACATTTATCTCGTGTCTACCATGCAGGAATTTGTCATCACTAGCCTGAAAGAGCTGGGCTATGTGACCCTCATGTGTGGAGACGGTACCAATGACGTGGGCGCCCTGAAGCATGCTGACGTGGGTGAGCGCCAATAGCTGGGAGCTGTCTCCATTACTAGTGTGGGACATCTCTCCTGGCCTTGTTGCTCATAGTGAGGAGTATTTAATTCTTAAGATAGGAGCTGGGGTGTGGCTCTGTGGTAGAGTGGCTGTCTACAATCCTCCAATGGGAGGTCAGGGGTGTGGCTCAGCAACACAGGTCTTCCTTAACATACAAAGGCCTGGATTTCATCCCAGACACTGAAAAAAGAAGTAATTTTAACTAATAACCTCCCTGGGCGGTGGCGCTCATCCAAGCAGAGCTCAAGAGAATCGGGTTCAAGTTCATTCTTGACTATGCAACAAGTCCAAGGCTAGCCTGGTTACACGGAAGCTGTCTTAAAAAGAAGCGTTGAGGCCGCAAGATCAGGGAAAGGTACGGGCATGAGGAACAGGGTAGGAGAGAAGAGGCAGTTGGGATGGTGTCAGTCCCACAGCCGGGGTGCTGGCCACAGTCACTGTCAAGACAGGTGTGGACGCCCTGGGCTGCAAAGGCTCACCTTTGCTTTCTCTTTGCCACCTGACCTGCACTTCCCGCCCCCATTAGTTTTCATCTGCTCGTTTTAGGCTCTGATGGAGTTTGTGCTCCTCTGAGCCTGGGCGTTGCTGTGTGCCCAGCCTGGCGCTCTAGATTCTAGTGCCTCGGCCTGCAGAGGGCTGGGGTAGCAGCCGCGCCTGCACCAGCACAGCCGCAGTCGCTCTGCTCGCTACTGGACTTCTCATGACTTCCGCTTTCCTTTTTAAATAACAGCTTTCACGCTCTCTCTCACAAAAGGAAAGTAACACTTAAAAATTTTTCTTCTGGCTGGTCAGTGATGGCTCACACCTTTAATCCCAGCACTCAGGAGGTCGAGGCAGGAGGATCTCTGTGGGTTAGAGGCCAGCCTGGTCTACAGAGCGAGTTCCAGGACAGCCGGGGCCACACAGAGAGCCCTGTCAAGGACCTGAACTTGGGGACGTGAGCACGGGCAGGCAGGTGCTCCACCACTGAACTGCATCCCCAGTCCTGCTTTCTTTCTGCCCGGGTTGTAAAATCATCCCCTAGTGTTGTGATATATGTTCATGCTGAGAGCACATGCCTGCTACTGCATAGCTGTAAAGCTCAGGGGACAGCCTTGTGAAGTTGGTTCTCTCTCTTCATGTTCACACAAATGCCAGGCACGTGTGGAAAGTGCTTTTATCTGCTAAGCCAGTCTCCAGCAAAATAAGGTGGCCAGTCCCTGAGGGCCCCATAGGGCAGACAGTGAAATGGGGGGATCTTGGAATTGGTGGGTAGTAAGCAGTAGCTCAGCCTGGGGCCCAGCTCTGCAGCTGGACTCTGGGGCCTGCCCCCAGCCCTTCCCATCGCTCCTTCCCAACACCCTCTCAGGTGTAGCCCTCCTGGCCAATGCCCCTGAGAGGGTTGTAGAACGGCGACGGCGGCCAAGGGACAACCCGGTCTTAAGCAACAGTGGCCCCAGAGTCTCCTCCAGGTCAACCAAACAGAGGTCGGCACTCCTGTCCCCTGAGGAGCCACCAGCCTCCCACAGGGTGAGTGTTCAGATTATAAATGCCCAGAGCCCTTGCTAGCCAGGGCTGACCCCTGCCTCCCACCCCATAGGACCGGTTGAGCCAGGTGCTGCGTGACCTCGAGGACGAGAGCACCCCTATTGTGAAGTTGGGGGATGCCAGCATTGCAGCACCCTTCACCTCCAAGCTGTCCTCCATCCAATGCAGTGAGTCCCGAGCACTGACCCCGCCCCTGCCTCGAGCCCTGCATACCCAGTGCCCTGCCCAGTCCTGCCCATAGCCACACCCACCCAGCACCTCTGCCCACTTCTGCCCTGCTTCCCCACAGTCTGCCACGTGATCAAGCAGGGCCGTTGCACATTGGTGACTACGCTGCAGATGTTCAAGATCCTGGCCCTCAATGCCCTCATCCTGGCATATAGCCAAAGTGTCCTCTACCTGGAGGGTGTCAAGTTCAGCGACTTCCAGGCCACCCTGCAGGGGCTGCTGCTGGCCGGCTGCTTCCTCTTCATCTCCCGCTCCAAGGTGAGCCCTAGACCACCTAGGACTGGCCGTAGGGCATTTCAAGAGCTCTTAGGGATTGGATTAGTTACAGAGACCTAGAGCTCAGAGACAGGAGTGTCCATTGATATCACTTAGGGTATACTGCTGTCTGTGAGCTTGGGGTTCAGACAGGTCACAGACCCCAGGGCAAAGGAAATGATGAATGACAGCAAACAGAGGACACACGGTGCTGTGAGGAGAAAGTGTGTCACAGACTTCGGGGGCTGACCTCAGGGACCCCAGGGAGGCCTCTTGAGAAAGGGTGCTGCCACAACCTGGAGTCTGCACTGGTCACTGACGTGGTGAAATCGAGGCCCCAGTGCCCAGAGGGTGCATGTGTCAACTTCCCATCGCGGTGAGGAAAGGCTGTACAGGGTGACCTGAAACACAAGGTCTGTCTTGGCTTAGGCTTCCAGAAGTTTCAGGTCATATTTAGAGCTACTCGCCCACCTCACAGGAGCTAAAAGAGGAAGGCTTGGGATTATCCCCAAGGCTACACTCCCTTCATGCTGGCCCCACCATGTAAACTTTCATCAGCCCAGGCATAAAGTCAGAGCCTTAGAGATGGTCACTTTCCAAATCCCTATCATAGCACTTTCCCTGGGTCTTCTGAGAACATTTCAGATCCCACCTTAATAGGGTGGGAGGCTAGCAAGCTGGACCAGACATGCCCCTTACCCCTGTAACTGCATCTCGGGAATAGGGAGAGTAAATCTGTTTCCTGACAGACCTCCATTACTACCTTGGAGTACAGACTGTTTGGGGCATAGGCAACCCCCAGGTCAGGGCTGTCATCTCAGCGCCTGTCAAGTGACTGAGCTGGCCCTGACTCTCGGTCCTGCCCTGCAGCCTCTCAAGACTCTGTCCCGAGAGCGGCCCTTGCCCAACATCTTCAACCTGTACACCATCCTCACCGTGATGCTGCAGTTCTCTGTCCACTTCCTGAGCCTCGTCTACCTGTACCGGGAGGCCCAGGCACGCAGCCCTGAGAAGTAAGTGCTTCCAGGGGAGAGGAGGAGAGGGCAGCCTGCCGGGCCCTGGCTCTGTCAGGGCAGCAGGAGGCCACAGAAGGTGCCTGAGCAGGGGATGGACCTGACACCCACGTCCCCCTGCAGGCAGGAGCAGTTTGTAGACCTATACAAGGAGTTTGAGCCAAGCCTGGTTAACAGCACGGTGTACATCATGGCCATGGCCATGCAGATGGCTACCTTTGCCATCAACTACAAGGTGAGGCCCACACATCTACTCATGCCTTCCCTGCCCCCCCCCCTCCGCTCAGCCCTCCCCAGGCAGCTAGGCAGCTGTCTCTTCATTACAGGGCCCACCCTTTATGGAGAGCCTGCCTGAGAACAAGCCCTTGGTGTGGAGTCTGGCGGTATCACTGCTGGCCATCATTGGCTTGCTCCTTGGTTCCTCACCGGATTTCAACAGCCAGTTTGGCCTCGTGGACATCCCTGTGGAGGTGAGTGGCCCTGAGCAGTGGCCCCTGGCTCAGTCCAGCCTGGCCAGGCCCAGCCACTGGCCCAGCTCATCTGCCTCCTCCTTGACAGTTCAAGCTGGTCATTGGCCAAGTCCTGGCCCTGGACTTCTGCCTGGCACTCCTGGCTGACCGTGTCCTACAGTTCTTTTTGGGGACTCCGAAGCTGAAAGTGCCTTCCTGAGATGATGGTGCTGGTATCCACCGCCTATCCTGGTTGCTGCTGGGCAGGAGCGCCACCCCCTGTTGCCCCAGGAGGGAACATTGCTCCCATCTCCACAGTGAGGCAGCCCGCCTTGCCCTTGGAAGACTGAGCTGGGACCCTTGTGGGAAACCATTGGCCGGACTAGTGGAAACAGCCCTGGCCTTTGGTAAATAAATCGGCATCTGCAATTTTGTGAAGCCTGCCTCTACTTGTCTGTGCCACACAGGGCCCCTGGTCACCAGAGAAAGGCCTGGCATCACCACAACCCCAGGGAGGAGAGTGACCCTCTGTGGGCATTCAGTACTTTGTAGGCCTGGATCTGGAGACCTCAGGTTTTCTGTGTCATGTCCATCCTTTATTTGTTGGGCTTTTAACGTGTCAGGCCCTGGAGCGGCAACAATGTGCCTCCCTCAGTGTTGTCACAGTGAAGACTACTTCCCTGCAGTCAGATCTGCAGGGTCCTAGCCACCACTGGAAAGTCTCCCTACTTTCAAAGGAAAACACGTGAAGGTGGGGACTCCTGAGCCTGGGATGGTTCTTGGAGGTCACAGTGCAAGGTGTTTGTGTCCCTGCCCGTCCCTAAGAACAGTGCACTGAAAGGGTACCGTCTCAAGATGCTGACCCAACCAGACCTTTAATCCCAGCACTTAGCAGGGGGGCTCCTGAGTTTGAGGCTAATCAGTCTACTCACGTAATTAAGGTCAGCCAGGCCAAATCGTGAGACGTGTCACCTCTCCCCTACCCCCCAAAAAGGGAACTTGACACATGAAAGCTACCAAGTTCGCTACAGCCTTTATAACATCAGTTCTCCATGCCTAGATCTGAAAGCCTGGGCATGGAGTTCGGTCTAGTCGCTGGGCGGGGCAAGGATCTGGGGCGGGGAACCCAGGCTTGCTGAAAGGGAGTACTGCCAGGCGTTGGGATAACAAATCTACAAAAGGGACCCCTGATCCGCTGAGGCTCAGCAGCTAAGAGGATCCTGGGCTGAGCATTGGAAGCTAGTCAGAAGTGCGACGGCTGCTTCCGGGAGGGGGGCGTGTCGTCTCAGGGCGTGGCAGAGGTAGGGCGGGGCGACACCACTGGGCCGGCAGAGGCAGGAAATCGGGGCTGGTCCCCGGGTAGCGCGCAGCCCTGTCCCTATCTCCGCTCCGCCGCCCGATCCCCACCCCACCCCCGCCCCCGGGCTTCGCCATGGACGCCACGGAGACAGGTAGGGGGTGGGGACCGGGGGACCTCTCTCCATAGCTCCTCAGCTCCTAACCCAGGGAGCCCCCCTTACCCCTGAGCTACCTGACAGCCGGGAAAGAAGTACTGGCAAGGGAAGGACTTGGGAAGGTCCGAGCACCTTGGAGATCCCCGAAGCTCACAGGGTGCACGCCTGCAGCCCCCAACCCTCCGATTGCCCTGCAGAGCCGGCACCCGGGATGCCTGGGGGAAGGGGCCCAGGAAGGGGAAGTGGCCGCTTCTGCTTCTGATTATACGATGGATGGGGGCAGGGTGTCACGGCCAGGATCCCTGCGGGGCATCAGGCCAGGGGGCGGTGGCAGAATTGTGACTAGGCTGGTTACGTATCCTGCGTCTTTGTGTGTACGGAGTGTCATTCAGTCCTGTCCCTCGTGGTTTCGGGCCGCACTCGCGTGTGTTTATGCCTCAGGCTAAGCGCCTGTGTGTCCCACGTGCATTCCCATCTGTCTGCCCTGGGGTCCTTGTGGCTGCATTGTCAAGCCAGTCTAATCCAGCATTTATGTGGCGGCTCCTTCTGGTCTCTTGCTTTGCTTGTGGGTCTGTGCCTGTGTGGGTGTCTGTGACTGTGAGCAATTGCTTCCCTGATTTTGCCTGGGTCCGTCTATCTTGTCCGAAATGACCCCATCAAAGCTCACTGCCCCATCCCACACTAGTCTTGGGCCAAGACTTCAGGTCTCTGTCTCCATCTCTGTTTCTCTCTCTCTTTCTCTCTCTTCCACTTCTGCTTGAAAGTGGTCGAGGTGCATGCAGATTGCTTTGCCACCGCGGCGGGTGGAGGGAGACCGTGGTTGGCCCGTGTTTTCTTACTCTTCCCTCCCCCAGAGGTAACCCCAACTCCCGAGGGCAGGAAGAGGTACAGTGACATCTTCCAGAGCCTGGACAACCTCGAGATATCATTGGGGAACGTGTGAGTCTGAGCCTGTCACCACATCTAGCCAAGCTCCCTAACTTTGCTGCCCCACATCTGGACATACTGACTTCCAACCTCCGGAGCCTAAGATACAACTCTCCCAAACACCTGTGCCTTGGCGTTCTGGGTACACAGGTGTTTTGGGTATATCTCAAATGTGGAGACAACCCCCGACACACACACACACACACACACACACACACACACACAACCTCATGATCCCTTAAAATGGTTGAAATAGGTATAGTCCCACTCTGTGAACCTCTAAATTACCTAAGACCCTCCAAACCCTTTCTCAGTCTTGCTTTTAGGAAAAGACCTCCCCCGGGGACGGGGTGTGGCTGGGAACTGACCTGTGCATAGCGTTCACAGACCCAGCATTCAACCCTGCCTGTACCGATAAAGGGAGAGTAGGGGAAGCAGTTCAATTGACAGAAGGCTTGTCTGGCATACACAAGCCTGGACTCCGTCCCCAGGACTGCACAAACCAACCAGGATGGGAGTGCAGCCTTGTACTTTCCACACGTATGGTGTGGGGAGAGTCAGGCCCACACAGTGAACTGAAGGCCTGCCTGGTTACATGAGCTTGTGTCTCCAAACCAACCAACCGAGGCCCCACCTGGCTCCTCAGATTACACAGAAAATACCAAAGACTATAGCTTCCCTCCTCCCCCAGCTGTCCTAGCATCCACAGAACTTCCCCCAACAAAGGACTGTCTGGGCAGAAATGGCTTCTTCATACCCTTATCCTCCCCACCCAGGGCTTTCGACCCCCTGGCTGGAGACTTTGTACTCAGAGAAGACCTGGAGCCTGACTCGACTGCCACAGCCACAGTGGTGACTGAGGAGGTAGGGGCGGGATGAGGGTCCTCAGTGAGGCACACCCCTGTCATACTTCTGAATGCTGTCTCTCGTCCTCTTACCCCAGAGCAGTGGAGCCGCCTGTTGGAGTGATGCGTCCTCCGAGGGTGCTGTGCCCCTCACAGGTAGGAGAGGATTTCAGGCAAGGATGGGGCAGGAAGAGGCGTCACCCCTTCACCAGAGCATCATAGACCCCATTCTCCCCTTGTCCTAAAGGGTCCCCAGTCCTGAGTAGTAAGCTGTGGTACTGACAATGACCCCAGAAGGGGCTTTAGGACCCATGAAGGTGTGAAACAGAAGCCACCGGTCTGGTCTTAGAGTGCAGGGAAGACTTCACAGGAGAGCGCGGCTCAGGGCTTTCTTTCCCTGTTTGTCCCAGAGGAAGAACTAGACTTGCGACTCATTCGGACCAAGGGCGGTGTGGATGCTGCCCTGGAGTATGCCAAGGCATGGAGCCGCTATGCCAAGGAGTTGCTGGCCTGGACAGACAAGAGAGCCAACTATGGTGAGGAGGCTTCTTTCTGCCCAGGCCCCGATGGCACACAAGACCCTAACCTCAGCTGTGGGTAGACCCCACCACCACCGTCTCTCCTCCCCACTAGAGCTCGAGTTTGCTAAGAGTGTCATGAGAATCGCTGAGGCTGGCAAGGTGTCCATTCTCCAGCAGGTACCAGCCTCCCCTGAGTCCCGCCTGCCCCGCCCTGCCCCGGTCCTCTGTCCCTGTCCATTCAGTTTCTCAACAGCTCTGCACTCTACCCCAGAGCCAAATGCCACTCCAATACATCTACACCTTGTTTCTGGAGCATGACCTCAGCCTGGGAGCCCTGGCCGTGGAAACGCTGGCCCAGCAGAAGAGAGACTACTACCAGGTGAGCTAGCACATACGCACACAGGCGCACAAGCACATACAAACACACATGCACACAGGCGCACACGCACATACAAACACACACGCACACAGGCGCACACGTACAGGTGCAAACACACACACACAGGTGCACATGCACACAGGCGCTCACACTCGTGCACCTCGGAAGGAAGCCGGAGCCTAGAGATGTTTAGCATCTTTTCAAACATTCCTACACTGACATTCGAGCCCAGCATCATGTGAGACTCTACACACCCACACAGGGTGCTTTCATCTGAGAGGAGGGTGGTGTGAGGGTACTAGGAAAGTCTCTACCAGCAGAACTACACCCCCCAATCCCAAATCCTGAAATTCTTCAACTTAGAAATACTGGTTTCCTGGGGCATAGTGGTGCATGCCTTTAATCCTAGCACTTGAGAGGCAAAGGTAGGTAGATCTCTGAGGCCAGCCTGATCTACATAATAAGTTCTAGGACAGCCTGAGCTAACCATGAGTCAGTTTTGAACAAACAAAACAGAAAAGAATACTGATTTCAAGCCGGGCCTGGTGACACACACCTTCAATGTCAGCACTGGGGAGGCTAAGCCAGGCAGGAGTCTTGGAGGCGTAGCCAGCTAGCCCTTGTAGTGAGACCAGGTCAGGGAGATCGCTCAGAAGGTCAAGGTGCTTGAGGACCGGAATCCGGTCTCTGACGCCCGCATAGAGGTAGAAGGAGAGAGATGGAGCTGTCTCTGCCTACACACACACACACACACACAGTAATAATAATAATTAGATTTTTTAAAAAGAAGGTCTGGAGATATAGCTCAATAGTAGAATACTTAGGTAACAAACACATGCCATGGTTCAAATCTCTAGTAGCAAAAAAAAAAAAAAGCAAAAACCAAAGAGGGAACCCATGGAGTTAGCTCAGAAGGTAAAGATGCTTGCCACCAATCCCTGGGACCCGTATGGAAGAAGGAGAGAACTACCTTCCACAAACTGTTTTCTGACCTTACACATGCTGGCAGAAATGTATCCCTACACATATGCAAACACAAAAATTAAGTAAACGTTTAAAGGGGGCTGTAGAGATGCTTGGGTTTAAGAGCACATGCTGCTCTTGCAGGGGACCTGAGTTTGGTTCCTAGCACCCATGAGTGGCAGCTCACAACCACCGGCAACCCTACCTGGGGATCTGATGCCTCTAGCTTCCATAGGCACCCACACTCATGTGCACAAGCCTGCACACATACGCACATTTTAAAATAATTAAAATAAAATTTAAAAGTTTTCATTGAAAACACAGGGGTATCAGGATGACATTTCTCAGGAATGAAACCTCAGGATGTCTGAGCCCTACAGAAAAGACGTAACTTTCTGCTCATGTCCATGGGCCTAGGGTAGAGCAGGCCTGGTTGAAAGGACAGTTTCAGAAAAGGGGTCCGGCCTGTGTCGGGTGTGTGGCCCGTTGAGGGGAGAGCCCTTGCAAGCCGCTTCTCCACGCCCTTCCTCCTCCCTGTAGCCTCTGGCAGCAAAAAGGATGGAGATTGAGAAGTGGAGGAAGGAATTCAAGGAGCAGTGGCTCAAGGAGCAGAAGCGCATGGTAAGACCCCGTGTAGACGGGCCCTGTGTAGATGAACCCTGCCCCGGAGAACAGCCTGTGTAGACCACACGGGGTTACCGGCCTCTTATCGCCCCTAAGAATGAGGCGGTGCAGGCGCTGCGGCGCGCCCGGCTCCAGTACATCCAGCGCAGAGAGGACCTGCGGGCACGTTCCCAGGGGACCCCTGAGGACCCTCCCCCCCAGGCAGCTCCCGGATCCAGCAAGCAGCAGGAGCGCAGAAGGCGCTCCCGAGAGGAGGCACAGGCCAAGGTGGATACCAAGAACCCCTAACGTCTGGATACTCCACTCCCCGCAACTCCAGTCCACTCAAGTCGTCTCTGCCCTGATTTCCCCAGGCACAAGAGGCAGAAGCTCTATACCAGACCTGCGTCCGGGAGGCCAATATGCGCCATCAGGATCTGGAGACCACCAAGCGGCGGATAGTGTCGCATGTACGCAAGCTGGTGTTTCAAGGAGACGAAGTGCTTAGGCGGGTGAGGCTCTCCCCAGCGTTACACTTGGGCACCAGTAAATACCCCTTTCCTCTGTCCCTGAGTCTTCGCGTGTTTACTGCAGGCCCCCAAACCTGGTGACATCCTCATCCCCACCTACCAATGGCAGGCCCCGCCCACAAGCACTGGCCTTATTTATTGGTAAGGGTTAGGAATCCAGGTCCAGCCCTCTGAGATTATACGTGTCTCCATCCTTGTAGGTGACGCTGGGCCTGTTTGAGCTGCGAGGGTCGCAGGCAGAGCGTGGACCTCGTGCCTTCTCTGCTCTGGCTGAGTGCTGTGCTCCGTTTGAGCCTGGTCAGCGCTACCAGGAGTTTGTGCGGACACTGCAGCCTGGGCCTCCACCACCACCATCTCCCGCCTTCTGCTTCCAGGAGTTCATGCCTGTGCTGCACAGGTGGGCCCTAGTGCTGGGCTTGGAGTCAGCCCAGAAGCCCTACGCCAGGTTTTAATATATGTATAATATATTTTGATTATGTTCACCTGTGTTACCCTCTTGGTCCTTCCCACCCCAGCTGAATTCTTTATACTCCCAACTAATCCCCATTTCTTTAACATCTTTGGGATTTTTGTTTTGTTTTATTAGACAGGGTTTCTCATCCCTGGCTGTCCTAGAACTCCCTCTGTAGACCAGGCTAGCCTTGAACACACAGAGATCCGCCTGCCTCTGCCTCCTGAGTGCTGGGATTAAAGGCCTGTGCCACCACTGCTGGGCCCTGGGATATTTTGAAACAGAGTTTCTCCATGTAGCCCTGGCTATTCTGGAACTCACTTAGTGTCTTTTTATTTAAAGTTATTTTTGGTCAGACAGTGGTGGCACATGCCTTTAATCCCAGCACTTGGGAGGCAGAGGCAGGAGGATCTCAGTGAATTCAAGGCCAGCCTGGTCTACAAAGTGAGTTCCAGGACAACCAAGACTGTTATACAGAGGAACCCTGTCTCAAAAAACCAAAAAGAAAAAAAATATTTGGATATATATGTATATGCCACCTGTGTGTAGGTACCCTCAAAAGACAAGAAGGGGGCATCAGATCCTGTGGAGCTAGAGTTGTGAGTCACCTATGTGGGTGCTGGGACCTGAGCTTGGGTCCTGGAAGAGCAGCCAAATACTCACAGCCTCTGAGCCGCCTCTCCAGCCTGCATGTGCTTGTTGTCTATTTCTTTGCTTTGAAATGACTCAACAGCTTTAGTTAGGGGAACTTACAGGATCGTGGGGGGGACTTTTGTCCTAGAGTGGTGGGGCTAGGACCCTTATGGGGCTAAGATGGCCCTGGACACCAGAGCTTGCAAATCCTTGGAGTTGGGACCCAGATGCTATGCCTGCTTGATGTCACCCAGGCCAGCTTCCTGGGGATCAAGCCCTCAAATCTCTCTCTCCCAGTTCCCCTCAGGATTCAAAAAAGTTTTCAGGGCCCCTACAAGCAAGGCTGGAGGAGGGTTCCTGCGAGCCTGGCCCTTGGGAGGATACCAGCCTAGGCAGCCAGGGTAGGTTCACAGAGGCTCGGTGGGTCGAGGCCTGGGCTTGGGCCAGTCTAATTGACCTGTCTCACCCAGGGATGCCAGGCCCCACTCCAGGCAGTGATGTGGACAGTGTAGGCGGTGGCAGTGAATCCCAGTCCCTGGAGTCCCCTACTTGCAGCCCAGGTAAGTGTAGGACTGACCCTTTCCTGTCATACTAACCCTCCCACCTCCCACGACTAGCCTCCAGCTCCAAGCTTACCTCTAGTCTGCAGCCTAGGTTTCAGCTTCCGATCTACCCCACACTCTGACCCTCAAGTGACGGAACTTCCCTCGAGACCACCAGACATTCCTGGACTCTTTCTCTCAAGGATGTCTCTGGGTGTTTTTGGAAGCCCTGAAGACAAAACCCATCTCCTTAGACCTAGCCTGTCCCATGACCACCGTAATGGCTCTACCTCTGTGCCCCTCTGACCCCAGGAGCTGGCACTCGGAGGTTTGTGAAGGCATCGTCTACAGGCACTGAGTCCTCTGATGACTTTGAGGAGCGAGACCCTGGTGAGGCTGGACATGGGTGGGCAGGTGGACGTACAGGGACAAGGGGGTGGCCCTGACAGCGCTGACCTCCCTCCCTGCAGACCTGGGGGATGGGATCGAGAATGGACTCGGCAGTCCCTTCAGGAAGTGGACACTGTCCACCGCTGCTCAGACCCACCGGCTGCGGCGGCTGCGCGGCCCAGCCAAGTGCAGAGAATGCGAAGCCTTCATGGTCAGCGGGACAGAGTGTGAAGAGGTGTGACCTAGGTTGGAGACCTGATGACCCCTTCTGACTTTCACCAAACACGCTGACCCAGATCCCTGCCGCTCTTTTGCTCTAGGACCTACCTTTGTCTGATGACCTCTGTCACTGTTGATGCTTGGTGTGTGTGTGTGCATGTGTGTGTCTGTGTGGTGTGTGTACATGTGTGTGCGTGTGTGTCTGTGTGTGTGCATGTGTGTGTCTGTGTGTGTGTGTGTGTGTGTGTGCTAGAGGATGATTTAAAGATCTCTGTCCTTCCTGAGTGTGAATCCTGGGGATCATTGTCAAGATTTAGCAGCAAGCACCTTTACCTGCTGCACCGCCTCACTGGTCAGGTCTAACTTCTCTTCGCATTCTCCACTCCCTGGCTTTCCTGCTGACCTTCCTGTCCCCAGCTGAACTCCTAACCCTGTGACCTCTCCCCCGCCCCAGTGCTTTTTGACCTGTCACAAGCGCTGCCTGGAGACCCTCCTCATCCTTTGTGGACACCAGCGGCTTCCGGCCCGGATGCCTCTCTTTGGGGTTGACTTCCTACAACTCCCCAGAGATTTCCCTGAGGAGGTGCCCTTTGTGGTTACCCGGTGCACAGCTGAGATAGAGCACCGTGCCCTTGGCCTGCAGGTAGGCACCATGTTCATTCTTGATCGCTCCCACAAGTGATCTGTCCCCACTGATGGCCAGGTCACAGAATAGAAGTCCTCTACCTGCAGGGCATCTATCGGGTCAGTGGGTCTCGAGTGCGCGTGGAGCGGCTGTGCCAGGCCTTCGAGAACGGCCGAGCACTGGTTGAACTGTCAGGAAACTCTCCTCATGACATTACCAGTGTCCTTAAGCGATTTCTGCAGGAGGTAGGTGGCTCAGGGCTGTGGTGTAGACAGGAGCCTGTACCCGCAGCCTCTGTCTCAGGACCCTCAGCCGCCCACCCACACTCCTGTCCCCCACCAGCTCACTGATCCCGTGGTCCCCTTCCACTTCTACGACGCCTTCATCTCTCTGGCAAAGACCCTGCATGCAGACCCTGGGGACGACCCTGGGACCCCCAGCCCCAGCCCTGAGATTATTCGCTCGCTGAAGACCCTCTTGGTGCAGCTGCCTGACTCTAACTACAGCACCCTGCGGCACCTGGTGGCCCATCTGTTCAGGTGTGCATGGGTCCCTAAGCTGTGAATCATGGCCCTCTTTCCCTAGACACGTAACTGCTTACCTGTGTGGCTCATATTAACCTCTGACCTTTCATATTTCTTCTGAGCTCAGAGTCCTGGATACCCATAACTAACCCTGACACTGTCTGTGTGAACACTGTCTCTGCTCTCAAACAGACTGCTTTCCAGTGGCCTGGCCAAGTCACCAGGCTAGCCCATGGGTCCTACCCTTCTCCAACTCCATGTTTGACCCTTCTCCCCACCCTATCCTCAGGGTGGCCGCTCGGTTTGAAGAAAACAAGATGTCTGCCAACAACTTGGGGATTGTATTTGGGCCAACCCTGCTAAGGCCACCAGATGTACTCAGGGCCCCCAGTGCCAGCCCCGTGGCCTGCCTGCTGGACTCTGGTCACCAGGCCCAGCTTGTTGAGTACCTCATTGTGAACTATGAGCAGATCTTTGGAATGGATGAGCTCGCTCTAGCCTCTGAGTCCCTGACCCGAGACGTTGGCCTGTCTCCTGCACTCCTCGAATCCAGTCCCCAGCACCCAGCCCTGCTTCATGTCCAAGACACACAGTCCCTGACCATTGCCTCAGACTCCAGCCCAGACCCCAGACACCACAGTACCCTGGAGAAGTATCCTGAGGTCACAGCTCCTGAGGTAAGTGCCTGCTTGTTCCACAGGTGTGGGAGGGCCTTGTCTGTATTTAATTCCCCTTCTTTTGGACAACTGGGTATTGAATTCAGAGCATGGTGTGTGTTAGGTGTGTGATTACCACTAAGCCACTCTCTCAGCTCTCTTTACTTTTGTTTCTTTGGCATTTTTAAAAAGCATTAATTTAGAGAGACAGTGTGTATCTGTAAGCACATACGCATCACGGCGTGAGTATGAAAGCCAGAGGACAATCTGTCCTCCCTCCATGTGGATCCTGGGGATGGAATTCTGGTTCTTAAACTTGGTGGCAAGTACCTTTACTCACTGAATATCTCCCCAGCCCATTTTTTATTACATTTTATTTATTTGTTTATTTATTGTGGGGGACATCACATGGGAATCAGAGAAAACTTAAGGGAGTCAGCTCCCCTCTAACATATAGGGCCTGGGAACTGAAATTGCCAAGCTTGGTAGCAGATACCTATTCAACCTCCTTTTAGTTTTCATTTTGTGGTAGAGTATCCCTAAATTGCCAGATTGGCCTTGAATCCATGATGTAAGCCAGGGTGACCTTGAGTTTACTGACCCTCTGGTCTCAGCCTATTAAGTAGCTAAGATGACACACTTGCCTTTTGGTTTGTTTGTTTATTTTTTGTTTTTGTTTTTCAAGACAGGGTCTCTCTGTAGGTTTGGAGACTGTCCTGGAACTCTGGTTTGTTTTTGTTTTTTTGTTTTTGGAGATAGAGTTTCTCTGTATTGTTTTGGAGGCTGTCCTGGAACTCACTCTGTAGACCAGGCTGGCCTCGAATTCACAGAGATTCGCCTGCCTCTGCCTCCCCAGTGCTGGGATTAAACTACTGCCCGGCTCCAGCTGTCTTTTTTTTTTTTTAAATGTGCATTGGTGTTTTTTACCTGCATGTATGTCTGTGACGGTGTCAGATCCCCTGGAACTGGAGTCACAGATGGTTTTGAGCTGTCATGTGCATGCTGGGAATTGAACCTAGGGTATCTGGAAGAACAGCCAGTGCACCTAACCACTGAGCAATCTCCCCAGCCCAGACACACTTGCCTTTTTATTGTATTGTTTCATTTGATTTTGAGATAGGGTCTTTCTCTGTGATCTTCCCGCCTTTTTTGTGCTTTGAGTGCTAGAATAGCAGTTGGGTGAGCACCTCCCTTCTGGGCACCTTCTTTTCTCTGGGCCATGGTGGCACACACCTTCAACCAGCATTCAGGAAGCAAAAACAGGTAGATCTCTGGGAGTTCAAGACCAGCCTGATCTACATATTGAGTTTAAAGCCAACAGTCAGAGCTACATAACAGCAAGACCCTGTCTCAAAAAGAAGAGAAAAAGAAAAGCATTTATGCTGGGTGGTGGTGGTGCACACCTTTAATTGTAGCACTCAGGAGGCAGAGGCAGGCAGATCTCTGAGTTCAAGGCCAGCCTGGTCTACAGAGTTCCAAGACAGCCAGCCACACAGAGAAACCCTGTCATGAAAAACAAAGCAAACAAAGGGGGGGGAGAGAGAGAGAGAGAGAGAGAGAGAGAGAGAGAGAGAGAGAGAGAGAGAGAGAGAGAGAGAGAGAGAGAGAGAGAGAGAGGAGAAAAGTTATTATTTAGTGTGTGGAGGTCAGAGGAAATTTCCAGAAGCAGCCACCTTTCCAGTCTTGTTTCTGCTTCTTCGCACTTCAGCTCACTGACCAGTAGGGGCTTCCCATCCCACCACAGAAGAGTTAGTACTATGGGTGGTTGCCCCAAATCCAGCTTTTTAAAAAACCATATTCATGTATTTAGTGGGAGGGGCACAAGGGCATAGGTGTGAGGTGAGAAGAAGCTTGCGGGAATCAGTTCTTTCCTTCTGCCAAGTAGGGTCTGGAAATCAAACTCACTGTGAGGTCTGGTGGCAGTTTCCGTCACCCCCTGGGTTGTCTCACCAGTCCTGCATGTGGTTCCGGGGCTTATGATCGTTACCAGGATTGTTCAGTGAGTACTACTCTACCCACTGGTCATTTCCCCTCCTGCCTTTTAAACCTTCTCCCACCCCTCTAGTTTGACCAGTGCTGGCCGTAGAGGTAAGAATGGGTAGCAGAATCCTTGCTGGGACAGCTCTGCTGCCTAGTGCAGTCGGCACCCATTTGTTTTAAAGTATTAAGCACCAGGAGTTTCAGATCTATCAGTGAAATAGATATTCAAAGACCTCCTGGCTAGGCATTGGCCCACACCTTTAATCCCAGTACTGGGGAGGCAGAGGCAGGTGGATCTCTGTGAGTTCCAGGACAGCTTGGTCTACAGAGTGAGTTCCAGGACAGCCTCCAAAGCCACAGAGAAGGCCTGTCTAAAAACAAAAACAAACAAAACCCCTCTTCTTGGTGTCTGACCCAAGAGGAAAAAAGCAAAAATAAACATGCAAAATTACAAGGTCCTGTGAAGAAAAGAGGATGGAGTAAGGCGAGGTCTAGAGGACTTTGTAGCAGGGAATATAATCTGGGCAAGTCTTATGGAAATGTGGGTTTGAGCGAAGGCCAGCATGTCGCGGGAAAGACGTGCAAAGAGGCGCTTGCAGATCTGGGAGGGGTGTGCCAGGCAGTGGGAGCAGTGCGAGCCTTGGCTGGGAGCGTGTGCTGTGTGCAGTCCTGGACTGTAATGGGTGGGCAAGGAAACTGGGAAGAAGCAAATGAATCTCAGGGGCAAAGTGTGCACCAGGCATGTGCGAGCACTAGAAAAGGCTAGCCAGACTCTGCTAGCTGTCGTGAGAGCAGCAGATGAGCACTGGCTGTGTGCATTGAGACAGGATCACTCACTGAACTTGTAGCTTGCTATTTCAGCTAGGCTGGCATGCCAGTGAGCTCCCAGGACCCTTCTCCACCCCCACTATAGTAGTCACGAGCACTTCCAGCCATGCCTGGCTTCTTACAAGGATGCCAGTAATTCAAACTCGGGCCCTCACACTTGCACAGCAAAGACTCTGACCCACTGAGCCCCCCACAGACTCTAAAACGGATTTTACTGTTGGAAGTCAAATTCTGGGTTTCTTCCTGCAGATTGCAACTCTGCAGAGGGACCAAAGGGAGGAGAAAGAGGTGGAAAACCCCAGAGATGGGGCAGGGGAAGGTGAGTATGCTAGGGAGCTCTCTGTCCCAACATTGCTTGGCTGACAGGCCACTCCTGGGGTGCATCCTGAGAACTTGGGGATGCTTAGCATTCATCACCCCACAGGGTCCAGCCACAACCCTGAGGACTTGCTCCTGGGAACACAGTCCCGGGGCCATTTCAGTCGCCAGCCAGTGAAGTGTTTCCGGGGAGGTGTACGACCAGTCACTCATCAGCTGTCCAGCTTGGCTCTGGTGGCTTCCAAGCTGTGTGAGGAGACGCCTGTCACTGTCTCAACAGTGCACCGAGGTAGTTTGAGGGGACGAAATCTGGGCCCTGCTTCTGCCTCCCCTGAAGGCAGCCCCCTGCGCCGGAACCCTGTGCCCAAGCACTTCGAGATCACCCAGGAGACAGCCCGGCTACTCTCCAAGCTGGACAGTGAGGCTGTGTCCAGGGCCACCTGTTGTGCTGACACTGAGCCTGAGGAATCTGAGGAGCATCTCTGACCACTCCCATCCTGGGGGACCCAGGACTGAGCTGATGGCCCTGTATGTTTCCCTGCCTGCTCTCCCTGGTAACCAAACCAGTTCAATGGGGGTATGGGGAGAGACAGTTGGGAAAGGACGACCACTCATCTTGGAGAAGTCCTAAAACACTTGGTTGCAGTGTCTCAACATCTCCCTGCCAGAGGAGGTTAAAACAGCAAGGCAACACAAGTGCACAGTGATTCTGGGTCAGTACTCAATGGTCAGTACAGGGCTGAAGATCCTTGGGGTCTCCCCAGTCTCTGACCTCTGAGACAGATAGCTGCCGCCCCTGCCCCCACTGCCACTTGCCTTCCTGACAGATTCCAAGTGAATAGCTGGTGTAGTTCAGCCTGTCACCTCCTTTTATGCCTTTTTCACTTGTTTGTTTTGAGATGGGGGGTCTCGTGTAACTCTGGCTGTTCTGGAACTCTCTGTGTAAACCAGGTTGTCATAGAACTCAGAGAAATTCTCTGCCTCCCAAGTCTGGAGTCCCCGGTGAGATGGCTGAGCACAACGGTGCTTGCCAAGCCAGACCAGTCGGAGCTGGGTCTTCCAGACCCACTTGGTGGAAGGAGAGAACCAATCTCTGCCAGTCGTCTGACTGCTGCACATAAACATGCACAAATAAAATTAAATTTTAATTCAAACAAATACGCCGGGCATGGTGGCACGTGCCTTTAATTCCAGCACACAGGAGTCGGAGGCAGACAGATCTCTGAGTTCGAGGTCAGCTTGGTCTATATAGTTCCAGGGCAGCCAGGGCTACACAGAGAAACTCTATCTTAGAAAACAAAAAATAAAAAAAATATAAAAATCCTGTTATGTTCTTGCACATCTGTCTTTGCCAGGGAAGGCTGACAAAGAGATCACCAGTAAGAACAGCATCTTTTATTACTGACTTGAGGAACCAAGGCTTGTAAAATCCACCCTATGAAACCCACAGGCAATTAATGTAGGCCCTAGAGCCCCAGATGAGTCACTCGGTCCTGCAAGAGCTCTGTGTCCCTGATCCGGTTCTACATAATCAAATACAACCCGGTGCAGATAATCAGGACAATGGAGCTGTGTGCTGCGGACGGGGGAGGCCAGGGGAGGAGGCTGCAGGCCAGAGCCAGGGGAGACCGCGGGAAGCCAGGGTGGCGCACAGGGTCTGCGGGTGCCTGTGGCGTAGCAGCAGTGGGCCGGGGGTCCAGCCGCCAGCTTGACCACGAAGGGGCGGGGCGGGGCTTGCAGCTCGGTACAGGATTGGACAGGAAGCGGGGGTGGGGGGCCACCCCTGAGGATCTTTACAGATGTCAGGTGACTCAGCCCCAAAGGCGCGAAAGGGCAAGCGCGCGGGGTACGGAGTGGAAGGGGTGTCCTACAGCGGAAAACGGGGCTGAGGGGAGCAGGCGGGTCGGCAGCAGTTTCAGGAGACCATACTTCCGACGTGGGGGTGGTACGCTCCAGGGGGCGGGACAGCCCACAGGGACCAAGAGCTGGGGCAGGTAGGGGCGTGGCCTTAGGGCTCCGCCTCTCCCGCCTCCTCGGCCCGGGGCTCCAAGCACACCGGACTCAGCTGCGCCACCGCCGCCCCATCGCAGGGGCCATGGGTCTCGGTCCCGCCTCGACCCCCCGCGAACCCGCCCCTTCTGCCGCTTGACTGAAGGCGCAGGTAAGGCAAGTATCAGCCGGACCAGGGTGGGTGCAGGCTTCCGGAGAGAGTGAAGCGCTCCGGTTCTTCTCCGCAACCTTCCTCTAGCCCAGGGTCGCTGAAACTCCCTCCTTTGTCCCGGAGGCCTCTTGGTCCTCCGTCCCACCCCGGAATGGCTCGCTTCCAGAGCTCTTGCGCGGAATCCTGCTTGTAACTCAACTTCTGGGGCGGTCTGTCTGTCTCCCCTGCTCACGCTAAGTCACCTCTGCGCTTCGGCACTGCCCTCCGGGTGCTGACTAGGAACCTCGCTCTGGTGTGCTCACGCCCCCTGGCCTCTGCACTGGCACCAGTGTGACTTCAGACTGCCCTGCCCGCCGCTCGTGCTGCCTTTGTGCCCCAGCCAACCCTCCCACGCCCCTCGGAAACCACAGGTGACCAACCTGGTCTTAGATTGGTGGCGCGAGGCTCTGAATTGCCACGAAGATGCATCTGCTGTGGGTTCTTCAGATTTTAAAAGAGCAGAAAACAAAAACATCAGACATCCCTCTGAAAATTGTTATGGCAGCATTCAGCAGAGGCAAGCGGATCTCTGATTTTGAGGCTAGTCTGGTCTTATAGGGAGTTCTAGGCCAGGTGGGATATGTAGAGGAACCCTGCTTGAGATCACTCTGGCTCTCACCACAGACACCTTACCCAGAGGGCCTCTGGACCTGTGGATTGCACTCAGGCAGTCTTGATTCTCTGGCCACTGCCTGTTCCTTCCTCAGGGGCCACCTGCGCTGACCTCTCTCCTCCCATATCCACAGGTGGCCATCATGGGTCAGTGCTACTACAACGAGACCATTGGCTTTTTCTACAATAACAGTGGCAAGGAGCTCAGCCTTCATTGGCGCCCCAAGGACGTGCTGGTGGTGGCCCTGGGGCTAACAGTCAGTGTGCTGGTGCTGCTCACCAACCTGCTGGTCATCGCAGCCATCGCCTCCAACCGGCGCTTCCACCAGCCCATATACTACCTTCTAGGCAACCTGGCTGCCGCTGACCTCTTTGCCGGCATGGCCTACCTCTTCCTCATGTTCCACACTGGCCCACGGACCGCCAGGCTCTCTGTCAAAGGCTGGTTCCTGAGACAGGGCCTGCTGGACACCAGCCTGACAGCGTCGGTGGCCACACTGCTGGCCATCGCTGTGGAGCGGCACCGCAGTGTGATGGCCGTGCAGCTCCACAGCCGCCTGCCCAGGGGCCGTGTGGTCGCCCTCATTGTGGGCGTGTGGGCGGCCGCGCTGGGGCTGGGGCTGCTGCCTGCTCACTTCTGGCACTGCCTCTGTGACTTGGACAGGTGCTCACGGATGGTGCCCCTGTTCAGCCGCTCGTACCTGGCTGTGTGGGCCCTCTCCAGCCTGCTCGTCTTCCTGCTCATGTTAGCCGTCTACATACGCATTTTCTTCTATGTGCGCAGACGGGTGGAACGCATGGCAGAGCATGTCAGCTGCCATCCCCGCTACCGAGAGACGACACTCAGCCTAGTCAAGACTGTTGTCATCATCTTGGGTGAGTGGGTGCTTTGACAGCCTCAGGGACCTAACCTCCAGAGGACCCTGGGGAACTGAGGAAGTGACCTTTGAAGGAAGGGGGGTGTTAATGCAGGGGAGAACAAAATACGAAATCCCATGACAAGACCAGGCAGAGCCTCCACAGAGGGAAGATGCGCCCTCAGCCAGCCTCCAGTTTTCATGTTTCCAAGGAAACCATTTAGAGGTCTTGTTTGTTTGATTCTGTTTGAGGCAAAGTCTCATGTAGCCCAGGCTGGCCTCAAACTCTCTATGTGGTAATGGGAGATGACCTTGAACCTCAGCCTCTCGCCTTCATCTCCCGGTTTTAGGGTTGTAGATGTGTACTGCCACCCTTGGTTTTAGGTGTGAGGGATTGGAGTGACGGTTTAGTGCAGGCTAGGCAAGCACTACCAACCAATCGATATCCTCAGCCCTGTTTTTATGTTGTTCTTGCTTGTTTGTTAAGGCAAGGTCTCACAAAGTATCCCTGGCTGTCCTGGAACTCACACTGTAGACCAGGCTGGCCTCAAAGTCACAGACATTTGCCTACCTGTGCCTCCTGAGTGCTTGGAATGGGTCACTACATACCCAGCCTTTCCTTTTTTGTAAGGTTATTTTTATTTGTGCATGTATGTATGTGTGTCTGGGCTTGTGGCAATGTGTGCAGGCGTGTGGAGGCCAGCACATCCTAAGCCCTTGGAGCTGAGATTGCAGGAAGTTTCGAGCTGCCTGATACAGGGTTAGGAACTGGGTTAGGTACCAGCTCTTAACAACTAAGCCGTCTCTCTCCAGCCCTGGTTGTTGTTTTGCTTATTTCTTTGTTTGATTTTCTTTTGAAGTAAGTTCTCACTGTGTAGCCTTAGCTAACCTGGAGCTCACTAAGTAGACCAGGCTGCCTCGAATTCATAGAGATCCACCTGCCTCTGCCTCCCCAGTGCTGAGATGAAAGGTATGCTCCCCTCCACATGGCATGGGTTTTGTTTCTGTTTTTTGAGACAGGGTCTCTCTAAATAATCCTGGCTATCCTGGAACTCACTCTGTAGGTAAGGCTAGCCTCAAACTGCTCTCTGCCTCCCAAGTGCTGGGATTAAAATGTGCACCACCCCATTTTTTTTTTTTTTTTTTTGGTTTTTAGAGACAGGGTTTCTCTGTGGCTTTGGAGGCTGTCCTGGAACTCGTTTGGTAGTCCAGGCTGGTCTCGAACTTACAGAAATCTGCCTGCCTCTGCCTCCTGAGTGCTGGGATTAAAGGCGTGTGCCACCAACGCCTGGCTACCCCATTATTTTTTAATGCAGGGTTTCATGAACTCCATATGTAGCTAAGGCATGCCTTGAAGCCCTGACCCTCCTGTTTCTATTTCCCTGGGCTGGTGGGCGTGTGCCACCTGGCTCCCCTTTAGAGTTTAATTATTCTTTTCTGGGGCTAGAAAGTGGCTCGGCGATTAAGAGCACTTCCTGTTCAATTCCCAAGACCACATTGGGCAGCTCATAACTACCTGGAACTCTAGCTCCAAGGAATCTGATGCCCTTTTTTAGCCTCCAAGACAGTGCCCACCTGCATGTAGCTTACCCTCACACGCATGCATGTAAATAGAATATTTTACACTTAATGTGTGTTCGCGCACAGATATGTGTGCTCTTACACGTCAGCCCATCTGTGCAGGTTTGGGGACAACTTCTGGGAACCAGTTTTTTCATCATTCACATGGGAATTTGGGTCCTTGGTCTTAGCAATAGTCCCTCTTTGGGCTTTTGTTTTGTTTTGTTTTTTCAAGACAGGGTTTCTCTGTGGCTTTGGAGCCTGTCCTGGAACTCGCTCTGTAGACCAGGCTGGCCTCAAACTCAAGAGATCCTCCTGCCTCTGCCTCCCGAGTGCTGGGATTAAAGGTGTGCACCACCACCCCCGGCTGGATTTGGGGCTTTTAGTATAGTATAGTATAATCTATTCCTGGTCCAGGGTTGATTCTCTACTCTGTAACTAGCCTGTTCCAAGATGAACTCCTGTCCCATCCTTTAGTGAACCAATCTCCCTCCTATAGAAGGTTCCAGGGCCCTGGGCTCTTTTGTCCTGGTTAGGAAAGGTACCCCTCTGGCAGGCAAATTGGAGAAAGGTGTCTGTCCCCTCCAAGCAGTTCTGCCCCTACAGGGAGCTTATGTGGTATTTGCCACACAGTTGGTCACTGCCTGAGCACAGAGTGATTCGGGCAAGTCTCCTGGGGGCTCACCATCATCAACCCCACACCTACCCATCATCCCACTCCCTGCCTGTGTCCTGCAGGGGCGTTCGTGGTGTGCTGGACGCCGGGCCAGGTGGTGCTGCTCCTGGACGGTCTGGACTGCAAATCCTGCAATGTCCTGGCTGTGGAGAAGTACTTCCTACTCCTGGCTGAGGCCAACTCCCTGGTGAATGCAGTGGTGTACTCCTGCCGAGATGCTGAGATGCGCCGAACCTTCCGCCGCCTCCTGTGCTGCGTGTGCCTCCGCTGGCCCAACCACAAACCTGCCCGTTACGCATCTTCTGCCCGGATGGGTGCCAGCACCCGCATCATGCTTCCTGAGAATGGCCACCCTCTGACGGACTCCACCCTTTAGCTTCTGTGGACTGAGGCAGGAGACAGGCTGCACACACGGACACTTGCGGTTCCCCTGGCTCAATCCAGCCCCGCAGATGCACGGCCCTCGATGCTCCCAGGGCCTCGGGTGTGCCCACCTCAGGACAGGGATCAGGGGGTATCTCCATGCACCTGGGAGAGCATCCAAAGGTGCTTGGCAGTCTGGCTCTCAGTTATCTTCTCAGGTTTTAGGTTTTTTTTATCAGACATTTTCATAGTTTTACTGTATGTCTCTGGTATGTCCTGTGGACTCTTTCTTCCTACATGGTGCTGTAGGTGTTCAGAGCAGAAGAGGTGAAGCTGTCCCAGGTTAGACTGGACCCACTGTTACAGGCTAGACTATAGGGGTACTGTCTTCCTGAGGCTAGTTTATCTTGGGTTTTTTGAGACAGGATCTCATGTAGCCTCGGCTGGCTTTGAATTCACTGTATAACTGAGGTTGGCCTTGAATTCTTAATCCTCCCGGCTCCACCTTCCAACGGCTGGCGCTCGAGTTGATTCCTAAGAGTGTTGATCAGCTTTTGCATGGAGGATCCCATGATACAGGGCAAGCCTTTCCACTCCTATGTTGTCAGGGTCATTTGCTTGGTTGAGGTTTTTTATGTTATTAATTCAGGCAATTTGTCCTTATGTCCTAGAGTCATCTATCATGTCTCACAGTTAGTGAGACTCCTTCAGCATGGAATCTCAGGCCCTGAATTCATTCCTGTTCTGTCCTCAGCGCCCTCTTCCTGATGCCTGCCTCCCCCCCCCCCAGACAGGGTTTCTGTGGCCTAGGCCAGCCTTGAACTTGCTGCATTCGTCCTGCCTCTCAGTCCTCTGTGCTGGGATTAAAGCTATAATCCAGTCTTTCTCCTGGAGCCTTGCATCTGTTTTCTTTTGCCAAATGTTCTACCTGTCTCTGTCTCCCTCTTCAAAAACCTGTGGTGACTTCTGGTTGTGTTAGTCTTTTCCTTCTACTTGTCCCCGTTATTATTATTATTTTAGGCACAGTATCTCACACATAGCTCAGGCCATCCTAGAACTCACTGTGTAGCTCAGGCTGACTCCCACCTCACAGCTGTCTTCCTGCCTCGGCTTCCTGAGTGCTGGGATGAGAAGCCTGAGACCATATTGAGAAGTAGCCGGTGTCTGACTGCACAGCTTAGAAATGACACAGACACACCAGGAGGGACAGAAAACCCCCGAGGAAGGGGCTTCAGTGTCCCATGGAGCCTGGAATTAAGCCACAAGTTTACCTGGACTTTCTGCTCTTCAGTCCCCTAAGAGCTGGGAGATGCCAGGCCTGAGATGAGAGTCTCTGGGCTCAGAGAAAGCCGTCCGTGCAGGCCCCTGCTCCACCTCACTGAAGGAATCGGCTCTCAACCAGATCCACATGCCGAGCAGCTGCAGGAATTTGAACCTCTGTCTTATCTGAGGCCAAATTCTTAAGACATTAAAGCATCCGTTTCCAAAGGACTGAAAACGCTTCTGTCTCTAGAGTAAATGCTTTTCATTTTCCACTGCCAGGACACTGCATACACTAGACCATTCCCTGCCTGCCACAGGACTCTGTCACAGAGTCATTTCCAAAGGGAAATGCCACCCCTACCTCTGTGAGGACACAAGACTAAGCTTGTGGGGCTGGGTAGTTCTTGATCCAACGTGGACAGTGTACACCTACAGCCAGGCTCCCAAGGTGACAACCCAGGAACTGCCAGATGTTCATGAAGGACAATGTCGCTACTTCCATGGAGCTCCAGGCCTGCTAACCCTGTCTCTTTGTATACTGAGGCATCCATCAAACCCTGAATCTGGGGCCCTCATGGCCTTCAGGGTCGGCTGTCTCACCTGTGCATAGGTCTCCAAGTCAGCTTAGCCATGTTCTGTTGAGGGATTTGTCAACTTGTTTTTCCCTTTCCCACTTCTGAGTGGTTTTTTTTCTGAGACAGGGTTTCTCTGTGTAGCCCTAGGTGTCCTAGAACTCCATCTGTAGACCAGGCTGACCTTGAACTCAGATCCACCTGTCTCTGCCTTCTGAGATGGGATTAGGGAGTGCTTAGATGTGTGCATATTTTTGCGTGATGTGGGTATTCTTGGACCTTTGTGTACATGTGGAGGCTGGAGGTTAGTGTCAGGAATCCTAGCTGAGGCTCTGCCACAGTACACAATGAAGCAAGGTCTCAGTCAAACCCAGAGCTCATCCGAACAGCTGCTCTGAGGAACCATTTGTCACAGCCCTCCAGGGCTGGGGCTATAGTCAGCCCTGCATTTATGGTTTTTTGAGGCTCTGGATTCTAGTCCTCACACTTGAGTGGCAAGCACTTCCCTGTCAGCCACCCCTCCCGAAGTCCAGATCTCTCCTGTCAGGTGGCATCAAGTTTGGGACTTATAGTCCTCTCCCTTCCTGACAAACCAGGCCTGTGTGGTGCTGTGCCCCTGGATGACGTTTTGTACGGACCACCGCTCTCAGCCCCTTATGGGTTCTGTTACTTCCTATTGCTGGGCCAGGCCTATGGTTTCCTTCACGAGAGGGCTTCCCTTGTTCTTACACAGGTACCCCTGAGGTCTCCCCGTTGCCCCACCTGTTACCTGGGCGTCCTCTTCAGTAACAATGAAGATGGGCTTCCCAGCCACCCCCACCAAGCCTTTGTCTGAATTCTGTATCAGAGCAAACAGATTCTGGGAGGTTCTGTGACTTTTTTCTTTTGCTTGAGGGGCCTGTTGTCATTTCACAAATCCCAAATCAGAGATGAAGGGCAGGTAAGAGTTGTCTGACCTGGGTATGCCCAAGGGTAGGCATTCATTTTGTAGGCACTCGCCATCATTTGTTAGGCCTGGGTCCTGGGGTTGAAAGGAATGAGCAGGCCTAGGATCAGCAGATAAAGGAGCTTTCTGCCAAGCCTGACAGGAGTTCAATCTCTGGGCCTGTGTGGTAGGAGAGAACCCAGCCCTGAAAGTTGTTCTCTGACCTACACGGGTGCCATGGAGTGTTCCTGCAGACGCACACACACTCACACACGCAGCATGACAAAATAAGAGAGAACAGACTGGGATCATTCCCAGACTGGATATAGCTAACATAATAGGGACAGCTGACTTTCTCTAGTGGAGACAGGTGCTCAGTTCTAGCTTCCTTCCCGACGTCTACACATATCTCCAGGTTTCATCCGGGCCTCAGCAACATCAGGGGAATAGAGAACTTCAGGGAAACAAGACAGGGTTCTGGGGACTGGAGGGACTGTGCCTGAGAAACACAGGAAGGGACCCCACAGGGGCGCAGAACTTGTGGGGAATTGTTGTGTAGTTATCCGTCCAGGTTGGATGTGGCCCCCTCCACTCTCCTTATGACTCACACCTTTCTCAGGGTCTCACTGACCTTGTCACATGACTTTTCCTGGGGGTGCCACCAGGAAAGAAACCATTTTACTCAAGTCCAGTTTTGTGGACCAGGCCATTTCTTGAGGTTACAGAGTATGGGCAGCTACAGCACCGAAGTGTGTCACCCACCCTCACCATTACGAGGAGAGTGTCCTCTCCTTCCACAAGAGCATGTTAGCGGCCCAATTTTGTGAGGTCATGTGTGAATGAACACAGTTGCTGACCCAACATGGCAATTTTCACTGCATAACACATATGAGGTCAGTCTGGGCTACTCCGTCTCAAGTTATTTATTTTTGAGAAAAGGCCTTTGTACATAACCCAGGCAGTACCAAAACTCACTATGTAGGGCAGGCTGGCCTCCAACTCAGAGATCTGCTGCCCTAATGCTGGGAGTAAAGGCGTGTGCCCCATGCCCAGCCAGAGGTTTTGGAAAGCTCTGAGGAAGGACGGTGAGGATCCAAGGAGACTCAGAGATGCTTGGGGTTGTGAAGAAGTGGGACCCCGGCCGACCCGGGAACCTGAGCGAAGGCAGGAGAGCCGGACACCCAAGGGGTGTGGGCCTCTGCCGGGCGGGAGCCATAGAGTGCGCGAGACGGAAGCAAAAGCCGGCGGTCGTCGTTACCAAGGCAACCCTCAGCCGGGTTCCGGCTGGCAGTGGAGAAGGCCAGTTTCGGGCAAGTCTCCGGGAAAGAGGGGCAGTGCATGGCGCTGATTGGTGACGGCTCCCGAGGGGGGGCGTGTCCTGGGGGCGGGGAAGAGAAGCGCTGTTTCCTAGACAACCCTCCACCGGTCCCTCGGTATCCGTTGAAAAGACTGTTTGGGGTGCGTCACGAGTGAGAGAGCGGTGCGCCGTGCCGATTGGTGAAAGATGCCTGCGGGGCGGTTCCGCAGGCGGTGCGCAGCGGTGATTGGCTGCTGGGCGTGAAGGGGCGTGGCGCCTGGGCCGGGGCGGTTGACTGATGCGCACGCGCGAGAACTCGGCTGTTCCTCATCGCAGCCCGGCCCGTCGCCCATGGCCGCCCCGCAGCGTCCCGTGCCGCCGCCGCCCGCCCCGCGCCGCCCGGCGCCCGCAGCTCCACTGGGCCGTGACACGAGCGACGTCCTGCAGCAGATCATGGCCATCACCGACCAGAGCCTGGACGAGGCTCAGGCCAGGTGCGGCGCCCAGGCAGGGAGGGGACGGGCGGAGGCGGGATGAGGATGGGGACGGGCAGAGGGAGTGGAGCCTGGCTTCGTGAGGAAAGGGGGCGTCGGGCTTATGGGGGTGAGGGCCCAGCCCTGGGACCCGGAGACGTTGGAAGAGCAAGTGATGTAGTCGTCTGATTGGCCGGGCCGGGACCGCGAATCTGCACTGAAGAGCTGAACTGGGGAGATTTGATGAAGGAACCGTTGAGAACCTTCAGAAATGGATATGGAGAGCTGGGTGGACCTTAAAGGGACTCCTCCTCCTCCTCCTCCTTCTCCTTCCCCTCCTCCTCCTCCTTCCCCTGCCCCTCCTTCCCCTCCTCCCCTCCCCCTCCCCCTCCCCTCCCCCTTCCCCTCTCCCTTCTCCTCCCCCTTCTCTTCCTTTTTTTCTGAGACAGGGTTTCTCTGTAGCCCTGGCTGTCCTGGAACTAGCTCTTGTAGACCAGGCTGGCCTCAAACTCAGAGATCCTCCTTCCCCTGCCCCCGAGTGCTGGATTAAAGGTGTGTGCCACCAACGCCCGGCTGGCACCCTTTTTTAACGTTTTGTTGTTGTTTTTTAAATGTGTATATGTGTGTGCGCCCGATGTGTGTGTTGGGGACTCAAGTTCTCTGGAAGAGTAACGAGTGTTGTACTTAACCCCTAAGCCATGTCTCCAACACCTCCCCTCCAAACGCTCCCGCTTTTACTACCAGGCTGGCCTCAAACTCGATATATAGTAAAAGATAACCTTGAACTCCTGATCATCCTGCCTACACCTCCAGAGTGCTGGGATGAGAACTATGTGCACCCATTGACCACACCCCAACGATTATTTTCCTTTGTGTTTGGGAGAGGACCCATGTTTCTCAGGCTGAAACTCAACATATAGCTCAGTATGTAGCCCAGGATAATCGTGAACTTGTGACTGTCCTACCTCAGCTTCCCTGAGTACTAGGAGGACACGCGTGCACCCCCAAACCTCCGGGTTGACACGGGGCTTTGAGCTTCTTAGGTACAATTGAGCCACAGCCAGCCAGGAGCCTTTTAAAAATGTTTCTTTCATGTGTGTGTAGGTGTATGTGTGGGTGTGATTTTGTGTGTGTGCACAAGCACACAATCCTGGTGCGTGTGTGTGTGGTTTGAGGTCAGTATTCACTGCCTTCCTGTCGTGCTGTGTTCTGTTTGTTTTTTGTTTGTGTAGGCATGTGTCTGAGAAAACTTGGGAAAGTCGGTTCTTTCCTTCCTCTATGTGGTTCATGTGATCAAATTTGTGTTGCTGATGTTGGCAACAACCACTTTTACCATGGAACCTGCGTCCAGGCTCAGGCTTTTGTATACTTATAGAATTGCTGCTTCAGAAAGATAAAAGAAACGTGTTGGCAGAAGCCCAGAATGGATTCAGTTCTTGGATAGGTCCTAGGAGTCATTATTTGATTACCTGTATTGTTTGTTTTTTGTTTTCCGAGACAAGGTTTCTCTGTATAGCCCTGGATTTTCTGGAACTCACTATGTAGTAGATTAAACTGGCCTTGAACTCACAGAGATTCTCCTGCCTCTGCCTCCCAAGTGCTGGGACTAAAGGAATGTGCCACCACTGCCCGGCTGGCTATTACTGTGTTTTTAAGACAGGGTTTCATTGAGCCCAGGCATGACAGATGAGCTGATGTCCTGGCATCCTTTTCTGTGTGATGTCCCCTAAACCCACAGCTCCAGGTGACATCTGTGTGACACCCCACACCCACAGCACCAGGGTTGCAGATGCCATCATGTCAAGCTTTATTATATGGTGCTAGGGAATCTGAACTCAGGTTCTTATGCTTCTAAGACAGACACCTTACTGACTGAGCCATTCCTCCAGTTTCTGAAGAAGCCCCTCCTTTTGAGGACAGGGGCGGGCAGGGTCTCACTCTGAAGATGAGGCTGCCCTCAAACTCAGAGATCACCCGTCTGTCTATAAGTGCTGACATTAAAGGCATGCATCTGACTTCAGAACCCATTTTTATTATTTTTTCATTTAAAAATTTAAGGATTGTTTTAAATGTATGAGTATCTTGTCTACATGCCTTTATGTGTACCATGTACTTGCCTGGACCCCTGGGAGGTCAGAGTCCTTGGAACTGGAGTTACAAATGGTTGTCAGTCACCATGTGGGTGCTGGAAACCAAACCCAGGTCTGATAATGACTATGTGATGGCAGTGTTCTAGGGCTGAAGTAGTCCTTGCTTTCACCTTCACGAGCTGGGGTTTGGGACAGAGACAGGAAGTGGAAAAGCACACACAGAGGAATTGTGACTGAGCTAAGAAAAGGACTGGCAAGCTGTGAGAAGCTATCTGGAGAAGGGACAGACCCTCACCAGATCCCAGGAGTCAGGAAAAGAGGGTCAAGTTTAGAGAGAACCTGAAGCCTTCTCACACAGTTACAGAGTTTGCGCCTCTCAGTAAGGGTTTAGGATTTTATTCCAGTTTTTCCTCATTTATGAAGTTTCTGTTTGTCTTTTGACACAGGGCTTCTCTGTGTAGCCCTGGCTGTCCTGGAACTCACTCTGTAGACCAGGCTGACCTTGAACTCACAGATCCACCTGCCTCTTCTTCTGAGTGCTGAGATTAAAGGCGTGCGCCACCACTGCCCAGTTAAAAATGTATTTTTAAATTCGTGTGTGAGAGCCTGCACAAATGTATGTATACCAAATACATGCCTGATGCCAGCAGAAGTCAGAAGAGGGCATCGGGTCCCCTGGAAGTTGTGAAGTGCCATGGGGTGCTGGGAATGGAGTCAGACGCTCTGCAAGAGCAGACAGTGTCTTCACCACAGCCATCTCTCCAGCCACCATTCCAGTTTCAATAGCAGAGAAAAAAAATCAAAGCAGGCTTGGTTGGTTGTTTGGTTTTGGTTTTTGAGACAGGGTTGTTCTGTGTAACAGTTCTTCTGGCTGTCCCAGAAATAGCTTTGGAGGTCAGGTTGGCCTCAAACTCAGAGAGATCTGCCTGCCTCTGCCTCCGGAGTTCTGGAATTAAAGGTGTGCAGTCAAAGCATTTTAAGACCATCTGTCCCACGTGCCCATACCAGTGTCAGGGCTGTGGAGATCTGCTTTACAAGGCAGTTTACTGTGCTTACACCTGCTAGGAGGATTAGCAAATAGAAAAGGGTTGGAGTCCTTTTGGAGCATGGGTGTTTATTGAAAGGGCCTGCTTTGAGGTGAGAGTGGGGTCTGACAGTATGTATCCTAGCCCTGCAGTGAGATCAGTTTACTAAGTAGAAGAACAAAAGCTACTTAGCACTTAGGGCTGGCAGTGCGGCTCAGGTGATAGAGCATCTCCCTCCAGTGTACTTGCAGGAGCCCTGGCTTTTGTCTTCAGAAGCGCATGAAGCTCACCTTGTTACATAGTGAGCCAACCTGAGATGCCGAGACCCTGCCTGCAGACACCCTACTTCTACTGAGATGCCTGAGACCCTGCCTGAGACACCCCACTTCTACTGAGATGCCGAGACCCTGCCTGCAGACACCCTACTTCTACTGAGATGCCTGAGACCCTGCCTGAGACACCCCACTTCTACTGAGATGCCGAGACCCTGCCTGCAGACACCCTACTTCTACTGAGATGCCTGAGACCCTGCCTGAGACACCCCACTTCTACTGAGATGCCGAGACCCTGCCTGAGACACCCCACTTCTACTGAGATGCCGAGACCCTGCCTGAGACACCCCACTTCTACTGAGATGCCTGAGACCCTGCCTGAGACACCCCACTTCTACTGAGCTCAGAACTCTGTGCTTCTGCTAGGCAAACGGACTTTTCCCTAGCTCTGTGCCGATGCTGCGTGTGGTTTTACAGCCTCTCTGGGTAGTTAGGAATGCTGTCCTGCTCCAGCTCAGGTCATCAGCACTTTTACTACACCCCAGCCATCTCACCAGCCATTATTCCACGACCCGGACTGGGTTTTCCTGCACGTCTGTAGTCTGTCCAGCATCTCTCCCTCACAGCATCCGCCCTTCCATTATCCTGCTCTCTGGGCACCGTTCAGGTGCTGGGGAATCAGGAGCCCTAGTGCTCGCCTGAGTTGTGAGACTGTCTAGTGTATATGGAATAGGAGTTGCTCCACAGAGGAGATTGGAGCCAGACCAGGAGAGGCTTTCCTGTGAGCTCCTCAGTTAGCCCCCAAAAGAGGGAGGGTTTGCTGCACTTTGAATTATCAAAGCTCCTGGCAACCAACAGTCATAAACTGTCATGGCATTGAAGAGAGTCTATGGTTCTCAACCTATGGGTCGAGACTCCTTTTACAAGGGCCTAATATCAGATATTTATAACTCACAACAGTAGCAAAATTACAGTTATGGAGTAGCAATAAAAATAATTTCATGGTTGGGGTCCCCACAGCATGAGGAACTGTGTGTATTAGAGGGTCACAGCACCAGGAAAGTTGAGAACCATGGTCTTGAAGGGTTAAACTCTGGGGAGAGAAGAGATGAAACACAGAACTGTCTCTGCTAAAGGGACATTTTGATGTGTCCTGGGGAACTGCCTGTGTCCCGTTCTGGAAAGGGAGCTGCCGAAGAGCTGAGCCCTGCTCAGGTGTGGCCTTCAGGCACCTTGGGCCCAGCGCAGCCCCAGGACCGAGCCTTGTGAGCTTCTGCTGTGTCCCAGTGGCCAGCGCTCACGAAGGAACGCGAGTGCTTGTCTCACGTTTTCAGGGTGCCTGTCTGCTTTAAGGCTAAGCAGTTAGTCTTGGTTATGTTTTTATTGTGAGTGTGCATGCATGTGGGTGTGGGGCAGCACACTTACGGAGGTCAGAGTAAGTTTACAGGAGTCAGCTCTTTCTCACCTTGTGGCTTCTAAGGAGCAAACTGAGGTCACCCAGCTTGGTGGCAAGGGCCTTTGCCACTGAACCATCCCGTCACCACCTCCTGATGTCTTTGAACTGTAGTTGTCTTTGAAGATTTATTACTTTTTATTCTATGTGTATGTTTTGTTTGCACATATATATATGTACC